ACAGAAAGGGGAAGAGGAAGAAAAGAAAAGAATGAATAAATAAAAATCAGAAAGGTTAAAGAACTGCAAAGTTCCCAGGGATCCCACCGGTGCAGCTATGAGGTCTGGGGAAGTCGCTCTCAGGTGTTGCAGTACAGCCTGCCTAGAAGGTGTAGAGGTACACAACGCCTTGTATTCAGGGATCAGAAAGAGAAGGAAGATATAGAGAAACGAGAAACTGAGCAATGAATAAAGACAAAAAGGGAAAAGAAAACAAAAGAAATTTAAAAAAAAAGAACAAGAAAGGCCCCCCCCCAAAAAAAAAAAATGAAAAAAGAAATGCGCTCAGGGATCCCTCTGCACGTTTGTGGAAGCCGAAGGGGAGTCTCCTTGCCATGCAGCTCCGCCTGGCCAGAAAGGGCTCCCAAATCAAGAAAAGGAAAAGAAAACAAACAAACTATTCAAAACAAACAAATGAACAAAAGCCCCGGGATCCCACCAGCGTGGTAGCCCAGACCGGGAAGCAGCTCCACGCTCGAATGGAGTTCCGCAGCCCCTCAGGAAGAAGCAAAGATGGCGCACAGAGCCAGGCACTCGAGCGAAAGGAGGGGCAGGCAGCGAGAGGCAAGCAAGAAATCAAAAGAAGCAGGGAAAAAAAAAGCAATTCCAGCAGCCAACAAATGGCACTCAGAGAGCCAGCTAGTGTGGGCTGGTATTTCTGGACAAGAAACTGTGTCCGCGGGAAGCAGAGGGGGCCAAGTATGGGTGAAGCAGGGTAGAGAGTGGGAAAGCATATATCACAAATTACCAGCGCTCTGCAGCCCCTCAGGAAGAAGCAAAGATGGCGCACAGAGCGAGGCACTTGAGCGAAAGGAGGGGGAGATGGCGAGAGGCCATGAAGAAATCAAAAGAAGCGGAAAAAAGTGACAGCAGCAGCCAACAAATGGCACCCAGAGAGCTGCCCGCTCGGGTGTGTGGAATCCAAGCAGCCGGCGCTTCCCGGTCAAGAGACCGTGGCCGCGGGAAGCAGAGGAGGCCAAGCTGGGGTGAAGAGGGGTGGGGGATGGGAAAGCGCACACCGCCAATTACCGGTTGTTTTCTCTCCAACTGGAAGCTCCGTGAGGCTGCTTTCTCATACCCCGTTTGCGGGTCTCCTATAGGAGTCCAAGATGGTGGATCCGCGCTGTGTTAGCTGGTAGGGGACCTCTGCATGAATCTCTCCTCGCTCTCTGTTCTGTCAGTTTTCTCAGTCCATTTGGTGCTTGGCTGAATTCTTTATCTCTTCATTTGGTGTTTTAGGGTTTCAGGATTGTTGTATTCTCTGTTTGGCTTAGTTTTTCAGATCTTTGCTGTGGAGGGACGACGTGGTGCTTCTGCCTACAGCGCCATTTTTGGCCTTCTTCTCTTAAGTGTTCCCCCAGACTAGGAGCTTCTCAGCGCAGGAACCCCGGTCCAAAGGACACGCTTTGCTCCTGGCACTGCTTTCTTGATGGCATGAGGTTCCCGTCTCACTGCTCACTTCTTTTATATCTCAAGAGATTGCCTCAGGACACAATCCAGTCTTGTAGATCAGGTCCTGCCTTAGTAACACAACTGCCACCGATCCTCCCTCATTAACATCATAGAGGCAGGTTTACAACATACAGGAAAATCACACAGTACGAGGAATCATGGCCTAGCCAAACTGATACACACATTTTTGGGGGGACATAATTCAAACCATGACACATGTCTAAAGTACGTGAGACGAAATCTGGACATCATTATTTCAAAGAAGCATTCTGGCTGTACGTCTTCCAAAGCAGATGTTTTCTGGCAATCCATTGTATATTTAATATTCTTTGCCAACACCATAATTCAAAGGTATCAATTCTTCTTCAGTCTTCCTTATTCACTGTCCAGCTTTCACATGCATATGAGGCTATTAAAAATATCATTTCTTGAGTAAGGCACACCTTAGTCCTCAGAGTCACATCTTTGATTTTTTTACACTTTAATGAGTCCTTTTGCAGCAAATTTGGCCAGTGCAATACATCATTTGATTTCTTGACTGCTGCTTCAATGGGCGTTGATTGAGGATCCCAGTAAAATGACATCCCTGATAACTTCAGTATTTTCTCCATTTATCATGATATTGCTTATTGGTCCAGTTGTGAGGATTTTTGTTTTCTTTTGTTGAGGTGTAATCCATATTGAAGGCTGTAGTCTTCGATCTTCATCAGTAGGTGCTTCAAGTCCTCTTGCCTTTCAGCAAGCAAAGTTGTGTCATCTGCATATTGCAGGCTTTTAATGAGTCTTCCTCCAATCCTGATGCTTCTTGGTTCATTTGCTCAGCATACATACTTCATACTAGATCTCAATTCACAGGTCATGCCTTACAAATTATTGAGGGTAAATACGAGGCTATTGGAAACTTATAATATTCTTTTACTTTTTTTATGGTTTGTATAAAGAAGAATAGACCTCCCTATCAAATTCTTTTTAAAATATTGTAAAATTAATTATTATTTAGGTGAAAGGGAATACAAATACATTTTATAGGCTTTGTTATTCAGACATGACAGAATATTTCAAAATATAAATCAAAGAAAATTGATAACAATTTTAAGTTAAAAAAATAAGCTTTCTAGTTACTCAGAATGTCAAGTAAATTTGAAATTATAGAAATGAAAAATTTAAGCAAAATATGATGTTACCAAATTTAGCTCAATGGTATTTGAGTTCATTATTCACTTCAAGTTAGGAATAAAATGAAGAAGCACAAAATAATTTTTATCTGTGTTTTCAAGTTATTAGTTAAAAAAAAGTTATTGTGATTTTTAAGCAAAAGTTGGTGACCTAAAATACTACATGCCTTAGCCCTCCAAGCCGCACACTCCATAAATTGAAAGTCTCAGCAACTGAGCATATGATTGAGTTTTTGCCAACGCGGTCCATGAAGGATAGAAATGAAAATGATTTGAGGGGCGTCAGGATGGAACTTGACAGTCGCACAGGCAGTTTTAAAGTTCACATTTTCACTTGCATCCCCTGTACAGGTAACTCCAGTCCCTCTTAATTTAATTGCTTAAATTAAATTCCAATTGAAGAAGACATTCCTGTTCCAACCATTCACACACCCCCACCCCACCAAGGTCTCAGGGCCCTGACCCCTGAGTCGCCACCTCCTCCTCAGCTCCAAAAATACTTCCGACTTAAACCGCTTGTAAGTTGTTATGAGGAAAACATCGGATCTTCCAATCTAAGTGTCCCATACAACTCTAAGTTTATGAAACACTAACTTAAAATAAGCAGAAAGCAAGTCTTCTCCACTCCACATTAAAGACATTCAGGGGTTTCCAAACCTGGAAAAAGGAGACGTCTACTGATCTAAGGTAGCCACTTTGAATCCACCAGCTGTTCTTTGGATATCCTATGGGGCAGTTCTTCTCTGCCCTATAGGGTCTCTATGAGTCGGAATCAATTCGACGCCAACGGGTTTGGACTTTTTTTTTTTTTTGGTTTAGTTGGAGGGAAGCCCCGCCTCGGCCCCGCCCAGTGTTCGCCGTCCCTGTCCAGGTTGTAGTGTCTCCTCGTCTCACCCCTTCCCCTTGGGCCCCGCCCCCACGCCGTAGCGTCTCTAACCGCCATGCGCCTGCGCAGTTTACCGCAGACGCAGAAGCGGATTGTGTGGAGAGAAAGTCACAGCGAGGTGAGTTTCCGACTTTCTGGTTTAAATATGAGCTTCGCAGTACGGGTCCAACACTCGCGGGCCCGGGGGTCGCTCCGGACATTAAAGTCCCCGCACCCGCCCTTCCCACCCTCGGCGATCCGGCGCGGCGGTGAGACGTTCCAAGCCCTGGTTGCTCCGCCGCCGGCCAGGGATCCACGTTTGTTTCGGTGTAAAATCGCGCTGAGGAGGGTCCCAGCCCCGGCCTTCCTGCCCTCGGGCCGTGCATACGGCGCCTGCCGCGTCGTTTTCCTGCTTAAAATCCTTCCCTGCCCCCCGCCCGCCTGCGCAGGGTCAAGTCCTCACCGAGGAGTCTCTGGCGACATCTCTCCCCTCCCCCCTCAGTGTCGCCCCTGGAGGGCAGCGCGGGCCACCCGTCCTCTCCTGGTCCTGGAACTCTGAGACCCCACCTCTCTCCTGAGACCCCGACCTCGCAGTGACTTTTCTCATTCAAGTCGGTTTCACCCTCTTCGCTTTACAGGAGTGAGGTCGGGCGTGGATTGAAATGGGCGAAGAAATTACTGTCACCACGTTGTGCCTTTGAAAAGGAACATTTAAAGTTTTGGTTTTTTTTTTTTAAATGGATTTACTTTTGCCTTAATTGATTTTTCTTTTTCAGGCTTAGTGAAAAAATGTTAGCTCACTGAATTTCAATTTTTCTCTAAATACTATAATCGTAATCTTCTGAAAATGATCTTCATGGCATTCCATAATGAGCGCATGATTTTTTTGTAAATATAATATATTCTTTTTTTTTTTTTTTTTACTTTTGACCCCAGACTTTATTTTTGTTGTTGAAATATCCAAACTGTTTTCCCTTTTAAATTGACTTTGTTCTGTTCAAATTAAGAGACCTGCATGCTTTCTACTCTTTCTCATGTATTGGAAACATTCTTGGGCACCTAGTAAATAATGTTAGGGTATTTCAGTGTATACTTTGTAGGGATGTCAGTGATCTTTTATGTTAGCAGACAAAACCTAGCAATGAACTAGTTAATTCAACATTTTTCTGTAATGAGATCTGTTAAAATAGTGAGCTGTGGTCAATTAGTGAATGTTGCCCTCAAGCCCCTCCTGTCCTCTGTGCAGATGTTGAAAGCAAGACTGGGTTGACTTGGAACCTTGTTCTAACAGCTCATCTGTTGACGATAAAGAAAAAAATTCCATTGTGCTAAAAATATATGTAACAAAACTTTTGCCAGTTGAACAATTTATATATGTAAAATTCAGTGACATGAATTGCAATCTTCATATTGTGCAATCACTATCACTCTCCTTTTCCAACTTATTCCACCACTATTAACATAAACTCAGTGTCCCCTAAACAGTAACTCCACCTCTCCCCCTCCATCCCACCCTGGGTAGCCACTAATAAGCTTTAGTTTGTATATATTTACCCATTTCATATAAATGAGATCATACAGTATTTGTCCTTTTAGGACTGACTGACTTCGCTCAGCATGGTGTTTTCCAAGTTTATCCATGTTGTGGCATACATCAGGACTTCATTTCTCTTTATGGCATATTAATATTCTGTGGTATGTAAATATCATGTTTATCTTTCTGTTCAGCAAAATTTAGATTGTTTCCATACCTTTTAGCTATTGTGCAAAGTGCTTTAGTGAACACTGGTATACAGGTTTCTGTCTGCGTTCTGACTTCTTCTGGGTACATACGTAGGATTGGGATTCCTGGGTCATATAAATTTGAGGATTGGCTCTTCTATTTCTGTAGGGAAGGTGGTTGGAATTTTCATGGGGATTGCATTGAATTTAGAGATTTCTTTGGGTAAAATTGATAACTCCATTGAGCCTTGCACTCCATGAACATGGAATGTCTTTCCATTTATTTAGGCCCCCTTTAGTTTGGTTTAGTAATGTTGTAGTTTTCCGTGTACAGTCTTTCACCTTGGTTAAATTTATTGCTAGGTACTTTATACTTTCTGATGCTATTATAAATGAAGTTGTTTCCTTAATTTCCTTTTCAGCTTGCTCATTGCTGATTTACAGAAACCATACTGTTTTTTGTGTGTTAACCTTGTATGCAGTCACTTTGCTGAATTCATTTGTTACCTCTAATACTTTTCTTGTGGAATCTTCGAGATTTTCTGTGTATACAATCATGTCATCTGTGAAAAGAGATAGGTTTACTTCCTCCCTCATAATTTGATGCCTTTTATTTATTTATTTCTAGTCTAATTGCTCTATCTAGGACTTCTGGTACAATGTTGAATAGCAGTGCTGAGAGTGGGCATCCCTGTCTTGTTCCTGATCTTATTGGGACAGTTTTCAGTCTTTCTCCATTGAGTATGATGTTAGCTGTGGGTTTTTCATAAATTACTTTTGTCTTGTTGAAGAAATTTGCTCAGAATTTATTACCTAAGCTGAACCCTCATTCAGTCAACAGCATATTTCACAGCTGATTACTCCCTCTTGCTGGAAACACCTTCTTCCTGGGTTTTAGGACATCACAGTATTCGTTAAATGTCTACCTTTCTGTGTATTTGTTTCATTTTTCACTTCTCACTTAGTGCCCCAGAGAGCAGTCCTTGAACCTCTTCTCTCTCTCTGCACTCATGGCCTTTCCTTGTCATCTCATGTCACAGCTTAAAACACCTTGATGTCTCCAGCCCAGACTGCTTCTCTGAACTCCAGACTCGTGTTTCCATATGACTGCTCAGCATCTCTGCTGGGGCTTCTAGAAGGTATCTCCACCTGAAAATGTACAAAAATGATCCCCTGACCTCCTGTGTTCCCCTCGAACTCTGCCAGGTCTCGGTTAAGGGCTGGTCTGACCTGAGGCTCAGGTGAACATCTTGGCATGTTTTAAAAATATAGAACACAGTACATTATTTGTAAGTGTTTTGAGTTACGATAAAAGAAAATAGATGTTATCTTAAAATGGGTGAGGAAATACATGATTTCCCAGATTCTTCTGGGGTATGGGAAAAAAATAGTTGAAGCCCCTGACCCTTCCTGTCTACTTCCCCAGGATCTCTCTGAACTCATCTTCTTACTTCCTTGCTCACTTACTCTGTTCCAACCGCACGACCATCTTTCTGGGGCCAGAATCTCTACTGACTTGGGTCCTTCACATTGCTGGTCCCACTGCCTGGAACTCCCTTGTCCCTCACATGCATCTAGGAAATATCCTTCCTTCCTCAGATCTTTCTTATATCACTTTCTCATGGAAGTCTTCTGTGACCCTGCATTCAACGTTCCAGCCGCACCCTCACCCCAACCTTGATCCGTAATGCCTGCTGTGCACTTTCCTTTCTGCTCCTGCCCCTTCCACTGTGTGGATACAGGTGACAGCACAGCCCCAGGTGACAGCAGAGCCACAGGTTGGGAGGTGTCCTGGTCTTGCCTCCTCTGAATGGGGCTCATCTTTGGCTTCACACTTCATTGCTGATGCATTTTGCAAATACATCCCTTGTGCCCCTTCCCAGAGATTCCCCTTCTAATAGTCTAGATGGGGCCTGGCTTAAAGAATGATTAAAATGGCCCAGGTGATTCTAATCTATCCAGTTTTGAGCACCAAGGTTCTGGGTCCTCCATTTCTTGGGTTGAGACCAGTCCCAGTTCCAGGGGAGGTGAGGGGGGCTCTGCTTTGCTTGGGTTTGGTATCTGGGCCATGACTGATCTGAAGGGGAGGTCATCTCACCTCATGTCTCCCTGCTGAAGCAGCAATGTGTGTGCCTCACCAGGAGGGGAAGGTGTAGAACTCAATTGTTGTTCTCCATGTAGGAGTATATTGTCCCTGAGTCCTTCCTGGGGCAGTGAGCAGCAGGGACTGTATTTCCCCATGGTGAGATCGTCTCCTTGTGTATAGTTCTGGCTCGGGAAAGGGGTGTGTGCCTTCTAATCATCTAACAGCATAATTTTTACATTCAGGATTGACTTCTCAAGACTGAGCTTGCCTGAGAAAGAAGTTCACAGAAAGAAGAGATAAAGAGGAGTTCAGAATGACTCTATCCCAGGTGACAGTCATATTCCCAGCTGGTGGCTCTGTTCTCTCCTTCCTAAAATGCTGTCCTGAGAATTTGCTCATCTTATCTGACTCTGATGTGTCCTATCTGACACGTTGGCTCACGCTCACCCAGGGCCTTCCCTCATTCCCCTCTCACCACCACACAGATTCCATCTCACCGTGACCCAGTGACATGGGACTTGTGAAGAGGCTCCATTTGGGGAACATCATCTAAAGGACTTCCCACTAGGCCTGGGTGGCAGACAGAGAATGGGCCCCATGGGGGCGGTGATGGGGGCAGCAGGGAGGGTTTAGGGGCCACATCTAGATGCCCTGTCATCTCTCTGTGGAACAACATTAAAGCAACCACACATTTATGTGCCATATTAATCTGTTGGAACAGCTGAAAATTCTGGAAAAGAAGACTTTTAATTGGAAATCTCCTCTGCCTGATTACTAATCCATTCAAAGTAAACAAGTTAATCTGTGTTACTTGTTCCATAATAGTAATGATTTGGAATAGAATGGAAAGTTTGGTAATAGACATCAGTGATAGAAGATGCTTTTTTATTCCATAATCAGTTCTACAATATGGAATCAACCAAAATGACTAACAGTAGGAATTTCTTTAAATCATTCACAACACATCTGCAGGAAAATCAAATCCCAGTTCTTACTTCTCTGATACCAAGTGTGTTGATCAATGCAAATGAATCTATTATCAGTTCTGTTCCTTTCTGTTTCACTTCTTTTTTGACACCAACTGCCCATTATTCCTGTCACCCTCACCACCTGGAGAGAGGCTAGATCTCACAAGTTAAGGACATAATCCTCCAGACTGCCACATCTGCCCTAAACTTCAGATGTCAGCTGCATTCTTGGGGACCCCTCTGAGCTTCTCTTCTGACCTGTTAGCTTCAATTCAAGGATTTGCTCTACACCCTCAGGATATCAGCTATAACCTCAGAGGGTCCCAGCTCCCCCACTTCTGACCTACTGGCTCCTGCTACTCCCTTGGTTTCGATAATTTGCTAGAATGACTCACAGAACTCATAGAAAGTTCTATCCTACAATTACAGTTGTATTATAGCAAAAAAAGATATAAATGAAGACATTCCTAGTGCGAAGTATGGAAGAGTTCCCAATGCGGAGTTTCCAAATCCTAAATGACATGCTGCCCTCCTTTGTGTATCAGTGTCTTTTACCAACCAGGGAGCCCGTAGAGCTTCAGTGTTTAGAGCTTTTATTTAGGGTCTCATTACATAATTCAGACTCAAGTCCCTCTCCCCTGAGGTGGGTCAGTATCACAAGGTTGATATCATAAGGTGAGTCATTTCTGCCCTGGCCAGCCCCCACCCAACAATCAACTTCATTAGCATAAACTGCTAGGTTATATTTAGTCTAGAGACCTCAAAGACACTCAAGATCGGTGAAAATCCAAGGTTTTAGAAATTCTCTCTCAAGATCTAGGATAAAGACCAAATGTTTTGGGTAAAGTTAATGTAAACCCTACAGCATCCATCCCTTGGAGATCGTAGTGTTTGTTCAGGGACAAAGAGGGATTTTAGATACAAATGGTTTTTCATTTAGTCAAGAGGTAGGGACAGAACTTTGTCATCAGTGTGGATGGAGTCAAATTCTGTTTCTGCCTTTGTTATTAAATATTTTATTTTATATTTACATGATGGACATGTTTATTTTGTGATAAAACTAGAAACAATAATGCCTATAGGGAGTAAAACATAAACATTCTCTGCCGTCTCACGTTCTCCTGCATCACTCACCACCTCCATTATTAACCACTCTTGTCAGTTCCATGGCAAGACTCAGTGTAGTTCTTGGTAAAAGACATGATTTTAGAAAAAATTATTCAGTGAATATTTTGTTGTGATATTCTTCAGCTTTTGAAAATTTATACACCATATGCCTTGGAATTGTTTCATGTTAGTAAACAGAGAGATAGCTTGCTCTTTTAGATTCTCATTAGAACATTCTCATAATGAGCACACATAGGTCATTTATAATTTTTTGCTGCTACAAAGAATATCACAGTGATTACTTCTGAGTACAGAGACTTGTTTCTAGATGTCTGAGGGACCCTATGGGTTGGGTAACTTGAAAGGTGACAGTTGCATCTAGAATGCTGCATTTGTGTTTGGAAAGGTTCTGCCAAAATGCTGCAGAACATAACATCTAGTACTTATACATAGATGACTCTGGGAATTCTTTCCATTTGCTTATCCCTTTTATTGCCCGCAAAAATGAAATCCCTAGTTACACAATGGATTTCATATCCTTTGGTGAAACATTAAAATAAAACACAATTAGGGACATATAACTTGCTCAGTATTATGTGGATCTGTCACACGTCTCACATGAACCAACTTGCTTTTGTACCTTTCTCCTTTTATCATTATGTGTAAAAATAAGAACTCTCCCTTTTCCAGTTGTAAGATGTGTATTTTTGGTTTGTTTTACAGGAACTGTTGACATTCAGAGATGTGGCCATAGAATTTTCTCAGGAGGAGTGGGACTGTCTGGACCCTACTCAGAGGACTTTGTACAGAGATGTGATGTTGGAGAACTACAGGAACCTGGTCTCCCTGGGTGAGCATAACTTCCCTCCAGAAGTCAGGATCCACCCTGTGTGTCTTTGCATTTTCCCTGTGAATCTCTTGGAAGCCCCTGCTCTGCTGTATGGTCTTTGAAATCTCTGCTCTTACGGCAGAGATGGAAGTTGGTTCAGAAATGAAAAGTTTTATAATATGGCATCAGAACTTTAGCCTTCCCCTTTTTTTTAGATGATCTGCCCATTTCATTCTAGGTCATTGCTGATTCCATGCCTTAAATAAGTACAAAAACTTACGACCAACTTGTAATATACCCAAGTGTCTGCTTTACTTCAGTGCTTTTAATTGAGTAGTTCTTGGAAGAGAGCTAGATGTCTACATATTTAACACATTCCCTAAGTATTCCAAAGGAGGCAGTAAATGAATGAATGTTTGAAATACTTTTCTAGAGACATCTGTGCTATTCTAAGTTGAACAAATGGCTTGGATTATGTTCTGCAAAAACCACAGCACATCATGTTCGTTTTTTCTGATAAGCAGGAGTCTCTCCATCTGAGATGAATATTATTTGCATTTTGAAGAAGGAGACAGAGCCCTGGACTGTGGAGAAGACGATGAAACTAGCAAATAACTCAGGTAGGTGGGAAAGTATCAAGATCTGAACATAGATGTGTTAGTTTCTTAGAGCTGCTATAACAGAAACATCGCTAATGTGTAACTCTAATAAGCAAAAATATATTTTCTCATAGTTCAGAATGCTAGAAGTTCAAATTCAGGGCGTTGACTGTATGGGAAAGCTTTTTGTCTGCTCTAGGTGAAGGTCACTCTCTCTTTTCAGCTTCTGTTCTCAGAACCTTGGTAATTTTTATGTTGTGTGTATCTTCTGTCTGTCTGGCCTAGCTTTCTTCTGTGCCAGATATGTTCATTTATATCTCAAAAAGTGATTAGCTTAAGATACACTGACATGGCCTCATTAACATAACAAACAAATCCCTATTCCCCAGTGAGATTACATCCACAGGTATAAAGGTAAGGATTTATAACACATAATTTTGGGGGAACACAATTCAATCCATAACAATTGGTAAGAGGTCAGATGGTTAGAGAAGAAACCACACCATCAAATATGTTTTGAGCAAACTCCCCCAAGGGAAAAATGCAAGTTTATTTCTTGTGAACTCTCAGGAAATTTTTCTTCCCTGCTCTCCCCGGCACCTCACGTACTGTTCTCTTCAGACGTGTAAAAGGTCCTCCTCCAGTGGTACCGCAATTCAAGCAGGGACAAAAATGTCTTTATTATGACCTCCAACATGCTGTTATCTGGTCACTACGACATCTTTGGTGCCATGGTTTTGATAGGGACGAGGAGGGCTGTTTCAAAGAGGTGTTCTTGCTCCCCTTGGTTTCTCCTTCTGTGCTTGATTTCATGTGATCCTCAGTTCTCAGTTCATACAGGTCATAAGCTGAGGTCTGCTTCTTCCTGAAGCATCTGTCCAGATTCCGTGGTCACTGGAGACCTTCTGAGGAGATGGCAAAGCATTGCTGTGTATTCCATTGCAGATGAGGCCCCAGGAAATTGCAAAGGACTTCACCAGATGTCTCTGAGTGTTCAGGCCCCAAAGACATTTCTTGACTCCTCTTTCTCTATACTTCAAGAGTGTGTATAACAGCAGGGTATGATGGGACTTCTAAGATTGTTACTCAGCAGTACTGTAAAGACAGCACACAGATCCTCTTTTTCAACCCAGTCCTACATGGGAACCTTATCTCTGTCTTTCATATTCTCAGCTTGTGTTTGTGAGCAGAGCACACAGCGCCTTCTCAAGGACCCTACCAATTCTGATACCCTTTCTTTACTCCCATATCTTATATTTTTCTCCTTCTTTGAGCTCTCTACATAAACTGCAATGTTGAAAACCCTTGGTTCTTGAATTTGTATTCTCCTAAGTTTATGTCATTTTTCCCTGAAACTTGCTATTGAAGTATACATTCTGAGAGTCTGAAATGTCACCCTCCTTTTTCTGCTATGACAACCTACCCTTTAGGAATGGTCAACTTGAGGTGGATTTCTCCAAGGAGGGGCATTACTGGGACACAGAAAATTCTTAAAGGAAAACACTTTGACTAGTATGTATCAATATTATCCTGCTAAATACAGAAGTACCTCTTGAAACCAATGAGTAGAATGTTCATCATGTCTTGGAATGCTGAGATAGAAAGTATTACAAGAGCCTGATTGATAAGTCATTCCCAGTGTGTAATCTAGCATCAGGGCCTGTCTACCATTCAGGAGGAGGAATGAAAATCGGAATCAGCACAAAGCTGGTTCCTCTGAGGTGGAGGTTAGACATATGTCTACTCTCTGATTTTTTCACTATTTCTCACACTGGCCATCCCCTCAGTGGCACTTTACTTCTTTGCTGGGTTTGATAATTTGTTGCATTGGCCACACAGAACTCAGACCATACTCATAGTCACATGGTTTATTGAGGAAGTAACAGATTACAATTTAGGATCAGGATCAATTTGGAAGTAACATTTGCACGATTAATTGAATCAGTGACTACCACGATTGATTGCATCATGCCCCTCATCCTTCCTGAAGTTATTTGCAAGGTGTAGTCTTTGGGGCTTCCAATACATTTGCACCTATTTGAATGTTGCCTGGCTATTTCAGTAAAACAAAGTCACCTTTTTGCTCAAAAAATTCCAAGGACTGTTTTTGGGACCCAGAGACAAAAGGCAAAATCCAGTTGTTTGTCCCACACAGGGGTAGGAATTGATCTTAGGGAGAACATTGTCCATATGTACAACCTCATACCTTTGAGGCTTTTGACCAAATTTTTGTTCATGCTACATTATTCATCCCATGTGTGTGCCATTGTTCATTCTCCTTCAGCAAATACTCTTTGGATGCATCCTATTGAAGGAACTTATGAGGTTGAATGATGCCTACTTTTTTTTTTTTTTTTTGGTAGTTTAAGTGAAAGTTTACAATTCAGGTTAGTCTCTCATACAAAAATTTATACTTACATTGTTATGTAATTGCTCTCCCTGTACCGTGACAGCGCACTCCTCCTTTCTACCCCTGATTTCCCGTGTCCATTCAACCAGCTCCTGACCCTCTCTGCCTTCTCATCTCACCTCTGGACAGAAACTGCCCATTTAGTATCTACTTGAGCTAAGAAGCATATTCTTCATGAGTACCATTTTATGTCCCATAGTCCAGTCTAATCTTTGTGTGAAGAGTTGGCCTTGGGCATAGTTTTAGTTCTGGGTTGACAGAGTCCAGGGGCCATGCTGTCTGGGGTTCCTCCAGTCTCAGACCATTTAGTCTGGTCTTTTTACTAGAATTTGAGTTCTGCACACCATCTGTCTCCTGCTCCATCAGGGACTCTCTGTTGTGTTCCCTGTCAGGGTGATCATTGGTGGTAGCTGGGCACCAACTAGTTCTTCTGGTCTTAGGATAATGCAGTCTCTGGTTTATGTGGCCCTTTCTGTCTCTTGGGCTAATACTTTCCTTGTGTCTTTGGTGTTCTTCATTCTCCTTTACTCCAGGTGGGTTGATGCCTACATTTTTTTTTAACTCTACTGTAATTTGTTTTACTCATTTGTACTACTGCTACCTTCATCTTGTAATTTTTCATATTTTATAATTCAATTTCTTTTTTATTAATCATTTCACAGATAAGAATCAACATAAGTCCAATCCCTAAAACATAAAGATGGATCAAATCCCCAATTTCCCAATTCCTCATCCTCTGTGACACTGTCTGCCCACGAGGCACTCCCTGTTTCTGCCCCTACTCCCCGGAGCTAGATCACAGCTCACAAGTTAAAAGAACACTGTCCTTCAGATTGCCAAATAAGCAGATACCTAATGCAAATTTGGGAGTCCACATGACACCCTTTTACCTGCTGGCCACAAATTTCAGGTTTTTCCTCTCCATGTTCCACGTGACAGCCACAAGCTCGAGGGCCTTCCTTGGGCTCCCTCACTTCATCTGCTTGCTGTCACTATTCCTTTGGGTTTGGTAACTCCCTTGAGTGACACACAGAACTCGCAGAAAGTACTATATTTAGAATTACAGATTTACTATAGCAATAGAATACAAATCAGGAAGGGACTCCTTGTCGAGGATTGAGATGATTCATAACGTGAAGGTTCCATATCCCCAGGAGGAAGTGTCACCCTCTTTTTACCAACCAGGAAGCTCTCGTAGCCTTTGCGTTCAGAGTCTTTATTGGTCTTGTGATGAACTCATGATTGAGGCCTGCTTGTGATAACGTTAAGTTGTGCCTCCTGAAATTAGTTGATATTGGGCTGGTCTTTGTGGTCTGGCCAGCCCCCACCTATTAGCACAAACCCTCAGGCATGGTCTGCAGGTTTTACATAAGGAAGTCACTTCAATTACTTAGGAAATGCCAAAGGTTACTTCTCAGGGACCAAAGTCAAAAGCCAAATTTTTTTTTTTGATTAGGTGATTCATTATGGCACAATTATCAATATGTTTTGATGATACTTTTACTGTTCTGTTTTATATCTGCAATTTGTGGTGCTATGGGATCCAGGAATGAGTATTATCTATTTACAACAAGAGTTCCTACATGAGGGTTGAGGGTTATTAAGGCTTAACAGCTGTTTCCCCAAATCCTGTAAAACCTCCAGAATTTTGTTTAGAAAGTTAATCCTTTTATTCTTGTTTCTCCTGACTTAGTACCTGTTTTTATTTTCTTAGTATTATTTCTTTAGCTGAATATATTTCAAAAGTCAGGTGTCTTCAATATATTTTCTTTTTCTCAAACTGGGTACCCCCTCCAGATTAGAATTATTTGTAATTCTACAGACTATTAATTTTGTATTTTTGTGGTTACTTACTAAGTACCTGCCACCTTTATAATGGCTTATTGGATTGTTTTATGTACTAATTTTCATTATGATGTTTCAGTGTTGGTTTTTCAGTATCCATTATGGAATATAACTATAATGCACCAGCTGTAAATGTTGCAAAATGACTATTCTGCATGGGTACAGATAGTTTTTTAAACTGGTGTTTGAAAGATTATTTCATTCTTCTTATAATAGTGTTTTCTTAAATTCTTCCTGATTATACCTCAGCTTTTTTTTGTTTTACAATTCTGAATTGCTATTTATTGATCTTATTCATGAGATAACTTTACAGTGGATTACTTACCATTACATTATATTGGTCTATGTTTTAGCGTTTATCTTTGTACAATAATTATGCAACATGTATTAATCTTCTTCATATATGAGGCAACCACATATCTACACCAAGTAGTATATGCTTTAGGATGGTGGTTGTAAAAATGGCCTGGTAGTGCTGACATCAGACCTTCTTGTCTAACTTTAGAGTGGGGAGAGATAATTACCATCAGCATCAGCCTAAGGCTGATTTCTGTGGGGTGAAGGTCAAACATACCTCCACTCTCCAACCTTTTTAGCAATTCTGACACATCACTCTCAGCTTCTCTGCTGGGTTCAATAATTCCTTGCAGTGGTTACACAGAACTCACAGACCATACTCACAATTAATGGGGCTTATTAGGGAAGTTACAGGTTACAATTTGGGATCAGGATCAACTTGGAAGTAACAGGAACAACTCAGAATACA